TGCCACTAGTGGGTGCTACAGAGCCGTCAGACAGCACTCCCCCTCCACGCGGTAATGCTCCAGTAGACTGGAGTTTTAAAGCAGCACAGTGGGAAATTGGAGAGATGTCCTCTCGCAAAACCAGCGTGGTTAAAAAATGGAAGTCTAGAAAATGAATTCAGCTGCAGTTAATCTTTTTTTGAGATGTTATATTATTTGTTAACTTTAGGAGTTGTTGTCAGATAATGTGCAGGTTTACATTCATACTGCACGGAGCAACATGCCTCATTTCAGCTGAAATTTTATCATAGGTGTGTCATTAGGTGTTTTATTAACTTTGAAGTAAATTCATTTCTGTCAGATAATCTGCAAGGTTCAATGTGCCCCACATTTTGGAGGCTATTTATTTATTTTAGATTCTAATTTTAGGGCTGACCTTCGAATCCATTTATGGACATTCGAAGCTTCGGAGCTCAGAACAAATTTAATTCGAAGCATTCGACAATGCCGGGGGGGGGGTTAAAAAAAAAATGCAGAAAAAACACTAATGGTCGGTGATAAGTAGTGTTTAACTTTTGATTGAACACTAAATTAAAACCCTCGGCGCATACTGCAGCACGGTCAAACAGATGCGCAACTCAGAAGTGTCTCTGACACCAGACTCAGAGCGGACCGGTGGAACTGGAAAATGCATATTTTACATCAAAAAAATCTATTTTATCATTATTTTGAGTCACATTGTTGAAAGAATTTAGTCGTCTGTGTTCAAGCAGGATAATAGCAGGTCTCCATTGTGCGTCAGGCTTTCTGTTTCCTTGTCGGAGATTTTTTCTTTTATAATTACTACTTACATTTTTCAAGTGATTTCCCAAATTTGTTGCTGAGTTGTGATATGCCAATTGCTTTTGGCAAATCTGGCACTCTGCTTTCTGGGGGTTGTCGGGGCATATTTTAAAGTGCAACCACACATCTGATGACCTCTTGGACATGTCTGCCAGCTCTGAGTGCGCTCATTGTCAGTATCGGACTGGTGGGGGTTAGTGTTGCGTTTAAGGCCTCCCTAAAAAAAAAAAACGAAAAAAAAAGCGCAGAAGCTTCGAATTTTTTTTTTCCACAATCGAATCCCGTGCCATCGAGCGAAGCTTCGAAGGTTCAAATTTTTTGGATCAGCCCTAGTTATTTTAGTGGTTAACTTTTGACTGAGTTGCCGTCATGTTCACATTCATACCGCACAGCGCAAAGTGTCTTGTACTTAAGCAGCATTTAAAATCCAACATGGTTGTTGAAGATTGTTGAAGGCTTCAAAGGGCTCTTAATGCACACAATTGTTTTTGGGACAGTGTTCAAATACTTAACAGTAAGTTGTGCTATATTTTGACTGTTTTCTGAGTGTTTTCTCTTTTTAAGATTAGTCGACTAGTCTTAATTAAAATTTGTATTTAGTTGACAGGGAAATTAGTCGCCAGGAACATCCCTACAATAAGCCTGTAAATGTCTACCTTAGTGTGAGCAGTTTATATTTGTAAGGGTAGTCTTGCGGAGTTTTATTTGTATGGAGCGTCTTTCATGACGAACACAACATGGCATTACACGAATTGTCAGTAAGTCGGCATCGATGCACGCTTGCCACTTGGCAAAATCAGGACATGCCTATTCCTTTAAAAAGTATTTTGGTCACTAGAGTTATGTGGCAAAGAGAATTATCAGTAGGCTGTATCTGGCTTTGGTAACACTTATAATACTTGTGAGTAGGATGAATTCATTGTTGGTTTTTGATCTTTTTTTATGGGATTTGTTGACAGTAAGAAAGGTACAAAACTTTGGTGGCCTTATCCTTTCTTTAAACTCTACAAAGTCATTTGTTTCGAGCAGCAGGAGCAAAAACAATCTGATTTTTCCACCTTGCAAGTCAGTCGCTACACAACGTTGCATTTTACTGTTGGTGCTATCATGGAAAATCAACCTCGGATGATAAATGAAAAACAAACCTAAAAAGTGACTGATGCTGCAGCTCTGCAAGTCGGAGGATTTTTCACTGGAGGTGATTCCACTGGTGATTTCTTAATGTCAGCTTCTTCCTCTCTTCATTTTTCTCTATCAGGCGTACATGTATTCCCCTCTGAGATCCTTTACTCCCTACCAGTGGAGTGCTCCTGTTTCTTTCTCTCACTCCCTCTCCCTTTCCATCCTTCAGCCCTTCTCTCCTTCCTCCTTCAGGGCCTCATTATGGAGGTAAACAGATGCTCCTATACCCAGGCTATTTAACTCCCATACCCATATTCCAACACGTGATGGCTAAAGACGGCCGCAGCTGTGCGTAATTTTGCAAGAGGAGACAGCTGCAGTGTCAGTGTGGCCAGAAATGACATTAGCATCATGCAGCACCAGAGGGATCATAGCTCTCCAAGTTCACCAGGTTCCTCTGACAGCTTGCTTTCATGCTCCTTGTGATCACTGTCATCTTCTCTTTCCTCCCTCTAATAACATTTCCCTGCTCTCTGACTGTGTCTGTTTCGCCCAGGAGGCTGCAGGGTAAAGAGATAACAGGCGGACATAATTACAGACGGGGAAAACTGAAGCATTGTTTACTGGAAGCTAATTGAATCCTGCCACAGACAGCAGGACGGTACATTTCCCTGCCTCACACTGGAGTGTTGTCCAGGGCTGCTGCTAGAGTAATCAATCATGTCCTTCCCTGCAAAATTTAAGTGTTTTCTTCCTGATCCTGTAGTTTGAAATGTTCAGACATTTGGATACAAGTCCAGTAAATAAAGAAGCTGTTTGCCTCCTTGAGCTCGACAGCCACAGTTGCCACAGTGTGTTGATGTGGCGGCAGAAATCAGAGGCTCACACTTTGTAATGAGATAATAATTGAGCTTTGACAGATGTTTGCTCACTGCTGAGTACCTTGAAGTTGTATGATTATCTGTTTTGTTGACTTGAAAGTTGTTCCAGTAGGGTCGGTCAGTTGGTCAGATACATCAGCAACAGGTCTGATCAGCCTTACACTAACTGTGGATATTCCTGCTCCCCAGATGATGAATCCTGATGTTTCCCTGGGCCACTGTCCACCACCACTACCACGCCGACTTTTCCTTTTTTCCACAAATAAATAGCCACATCATGCCCTGAAGTTTACTGAGCACGTTTATATTCCCCGGAGGATGACCCTTTGTGATTTTGGATGCTATGAACTTTCTACAAGAGCAGTGTTTTGCAAATAAGGGTACGGGTAGCCCTGTGCAGCACCACAGGGGGTACATGACATTTTTTAAAATGTTAATTAAAACAATATCAGTTCCTGAAATGATTATACTATAATACGTTCAGTTCAATTTCATTCAGTTAAATAGAACTTTATTCATCCCAAAGGAAATTCTTGTGCCAGAGAATGCCTCAGGTTACAGTAACATTACAGTAACCACATTTTAATGTTCAACCAGTAACAACCAGTGCGTTCCCCGGGTCAGGGTCAATCGCTGGGCCCAGTTTTAGAAACAATAGTGTTAAATATCTGGCAAAATATACAAATACAGAAGGTAGAAATGTTTTCAAGGAGCAAAAACAAAAACCAGTGTCTAATAGATCAACACTAGGAGTACGATAAGTACAAGAGTTACTAAAAATGAACTAAAATAGTGTAATAAACAGACTGCATCTGATATTCAATGTTATACTAGTCCATACCCATTGGTAGCTTTGTCACCTTCTACCTATGCCAATCCTCAATGTTTGTGTGCAGTTTCACATAGATTGACCATGTCAGTGAGTAGAAAAACGTGGGACAGACACACCCACACACAGACAGAGTTTTCGTTATTACATAGTAAGGTTGAATGTAAAATAACAATGAAAAGTAGTATTGCACATGATTGACAAAATGGTATTGCACTACACTGACCAGTGATCATGATATTGAAAAGTAATGGTGCACATGATGTTACGAAAATATTGCACAAGATATGAAAAATGTAAATATAAGTTTGATTGATCACATTTAATATTCAGTATTCCCATTTTCAATGTAATGGTTAGCTGCCAATCAACTGCTGCAACAAATGCAATCACATTCACGTTTGTTCAGTGGGACCAAGAAGCCAGTTTCCATATTATTTTGCACTGGTTACAGGATACTTGGCTGGGAAATATTTCAAGGAGGGTACATTATTGAAAATCATTTGAGAACCATTGTTGTAGACAAAATTCCTCCCTCAAGACACTGTGTTACAGAATATGCTGAACACAGTCATGCTTTTGATTAGTGTTGTCAGAAATATCAATTTAGTGATCCCCATCAATTTTCAATATTTGAAACGGTGTCAAGACTCTTGTATCGATACATCGGTACCAGCTGCGCTTTCTCTCTTTTTAACCCACTGTTCTCTGCCACTAAGAAAGGAAATGTTGTCGTTGTCATGTTACAGCCATTTTATATTTAGGTTTTAACAGAAATGTCTAAATTATCTTTTCCCCGTGGTTTCCGAAATGATATTGAATATTATATTTTCAAGTTATTGCATTTAAGTTAGAAATTGCAGTATCGTGACAACATGACTGTGATGATGTTTTTGGTGATGCAGCAAAATCAGGAGTATGTTTATTGATTTATTCCATTTGTTGAATTCTGACTGAACACTGTGGCCTCTGCAGGATATTTACACTGCTTGCTGCGTCTTAGTCTTTTTTGTTGCCCGTTCTTAATCATAACAACATACATGTGCATATTGAACTCTAATTTTAAACTGTATCCCTGAAAACGTAACTCAGCAGCATTTTGTTGATGTTATTGAGTTTGTTTATGGTGCGATTATGACCAGTGCTTGGGACCGTTGTCCGTGTTCTTGATGTGTCATCGAGCTTATAGTTTGTCCTGGAGGTACCACCCTGTCAGACAGATAATTCGGTCATGAAGAGATTTTGAGATGTGCTGAGGCTTCGGATGAGTGCTGAAGGATTAACATTGATTTTTTTCCCTTCCTCATCTCTCCCCCTTCTCCCCCTTAATCCTCTCCTTCGACCAGGTTGACCCATGACATCAGCCTGGATGAGTTTGAGGATGACGACCTGTCTGAGATTACAGAGATCACAGACGAGTGCGGGATGAGCCTCAACTGCAACGGCCCGGATATAAAGGTACGACTTGGCCTCCTCAAAGAGGTGGTTCTCACCAGATCTCATTAAATGAGCTGTATAATCTCACAGGAAAGTCTCCCACTCTCCCTTTCAGTCCACAGCAGACTTCCCACGGCGGCTATAAGTGAAAGACATTTGTGTTTAATCAGCAGCTTCTCAAAATGACCCACTGCTCTGATTGGGAGACGGACTAGAGGAGAGTTCATATGAAATAGGGAGATGTGGGGGTTCTTTTTTGTCCCTTTTTAAAGCATCAAACACTGAATTTCCTGCATTCTGGTGACTTTTTATGCATCAATATATGGTGGAAATGTCATTAGGTTTGTCCAAATAAAAGTCCTCTGCTCCTTCAGTGATTTTATTGATAAGACAAATGTCCATGTGCAAAATACTGAGGGGTCGTATCCCCTGTGTCCCCCCAAAATCTGCGCCTCTGTTGTTTTTAGTCAAGGACAGTTGTCATCTCATTGGTTGCACTTTATAATGTCGCTGGTGACAGTGATGGGAGATCATTGTTTGCACGGTCCTGTTTAAATCGATCTAAAATTAGAACCATAATAGCTGAAGCATTCGTTCTTTTTGCAGCAGAAAGCGAAGGCTTCTGTCCTCCTCGTCACTGCATCATAACCTTACCTTACCTCATGGTGCAAACATGGTATTTTGCCATAAAGTCTAGGGGTGGGGGAAAAAATTGATACAGCGTAGAATCGTGTTAATTTTGTGTGGCAATATCATATAATCATACAGTACAAGTATCATTTTTTTTTACTATGTAAATTATTAGTATTACAAATACAAATTAAACTATTAGTAGCCTATTAAAATAATAAAAATCAATTGCCTTTTCAGTCCATTAAATACATTTTGCTGCTGCAAAAAAAATGGCTGAAGTGAGAAGTGTATTGCACATTGGTAGTACACCTCCCAACCGCTGTAGTGGCGCTGTGGCGCAGTAGAAAGCCGGTGCACTCGGGGTGCCGGTGGCTTAGTGGTAGAGCAGGCGCCCCATGTACGAGACTGTTGCCGCAGCGGCCCAGGTTCGACTCCAGCCTGTGGCCCTTTGCTGCATGTCACTCCCTCTCTCTCTCCCCCCTTCACGCTTGTCTGTCCTGTACATTAAAGGCTAAAAAGCCCCAGAAAATATCTTTAAAAAAAAAAAAAAGAAAGCCGGTGCACTCATTCATTGCAGGACGAAGAAGGGGTGAAGAAAATTTCAAGACATCCGAGATAAAAATACATGTTAACTGAACAATAACGGATATACAAACACACGGCAACCCCCCGTACACCTTCCTAACATCGGTGCCTATGAGGTGAGTACATTACATGTTTGATTTGAAAGTTCATGGAGACGTGAATCGGTCTAGACCGGGAACCCCCACATGAAAAACGGGGTTTGTTTTCAAGACGTTCATGCAATGAACGTCTTGGTCCAAGGCTATCACAATACTCAGCATATCACAAGATATTTTAATTCATAGTAATATTTTTTTTGTCACTAAAGTATTGTGATAAAATATTGTATCATGGATCCACTGGTGATTCCCACCCCTAATAATTATTTAATAATGTATTTCATAATGGCTGCGGGAGTTCGTAATAGTCAGAACATTCATTCTTTTTGCAGCACAAAGCTAAGGCTCATGATGACATCATAATGCTACATTACGAGTGTTGCAAAACCAGGCGAAAACACCAGGGTAATGAATGAATGAGTCTCTCACAACACCTTTGCAATCTGAACATAAAAATGAGCATATCTCAAAAATTATATAATGCACATAGTTCAAACAACTTATAGAGAAATATTTTAATCATGCCTCTTCATTATCAATCAGTTCAATCAATTTTATTTATAAAGCCCAATATCACAAATCACAATTTGCCTCACAGGGCTTTACAGCATATGACATCCCTCTGTCCTTATGACCCTCACAGCGGATAAGGAAAGACTCCCCAAAAAAAAACCTTTAACAGGGAAAAATAAATCTTTTGGATTAGTTTTGTGTCTTTATTTTGTTAAAACATGACAAAAACATGTTTTTGTATTTTTTTATTACACAATTTCAATACTTTTATCAACTATCATGCTTTATTGACGTAAATAGCCTTTCAGCTTAAGCTGTACAGATGTTAGGGATATGAAGCATTTATATTTGGCGGATCATTTCTATGGAGTTCCAGGGTTAAAATGTACAACAGTAATTTCCCACATTATTTTAAGAATAATGAGGCAAACACATGATCTCCATTTTTTTAATGCTTGTGCTCATGTCATGAATTTTTCGTGGCATTTTGTCTCAACCAGCTGCAACATTCAGCTTCATGCCAGCAGAGGAAAGAGGTCAGAGGCAGAGACGGCGGCTGTAGAAACCTTGAGTCTGATCACACGTGATCACCCCGCTGCATTCTGCTTTTCTGAATAATTCACTCTGAGCTGTTTACTGTTTGTTAAAGTCGAATGAAACTTTGCTGAAGCGGTTACTTTTTTTTTTTTTTTTTTTGGTTGTTGTTTTTGCTGAGGAAAGTTTTCGGCGCCACGGGCCCACTGGCACCCTGGTTTTTACTGGCACGGATATGAGCGGGTCATTAATGAAAACTGGAGCGAGTGTGAAGTGCTACTATGAGAGAGGGAGATGTGGAGTGGTACAGAGGGAGAAAATAAGCAGAGGTAGATTTATTATTCTGTCAGATCTCTCCGGCTCTGTTCCCAGTGAAACACTCATCACCTCCTCCTCCATTCAGCTCTGCTACCGTAACCAAGGCAACAGGAGGGTCGAGGGGCCTTTTTTTAGTGCCATTTATCCGAGCAGATAAGAGAATATTTCTTCTGTGTCTCCTGTTTGATTGTTTTAGTGAGGCTGTGACCTGACATGAGAAAATCGCTCCGATATTTCAGAGTAGTGAGAATATTTTTAGGTTGAAAAGCCATTTCTCTTTCTCTCTGCTTTTTCTTGTCTTCCTTTCCAGGGGGCTAATTATAGCCCAGATTATTGAATGTGAGAGCTTTCTGCTGGAGGTGTGTGTGTGTTTGTGTGTGGACATTGATGACTCATCCCTTGCAGGGGACTCACAGGGATCAGAATCCAAAATGGCTCCTTGACAGGCAAACATGAGACTTTTCTGACAGCGACATCAGCGACAAACCACACGTCATTGAGTGCTGTCAGTCTCAGGACATGAAACACACTGCTCGGCTTGTGTGTGTCGAGAGTGTAGGGGATGTTTCAGCTGAGGGGTTTGTCACATGGCTTTGTAGGGAAAGAGCAGGCTCTGCTGGTTGGTCTCAATAATGTGTTTCCCCTCCATCTCTCAGTCTCATGTCATTTTGCCTGTTTGTTGACTGTGGTGCGTCTCCCTGTGTTACTTTTGTTGCTTGTCACGCACAGACAGTATCTCAGTCCTGTGCACTCACTGCCTGAAGGCACACAGCTATGCACTGAACTAAACACACAAGAGGTTGGAAAATAGTAGCAGGTATTTTGCTGGAGCCGACTGTGAAACTGTAAATAAAGAGTGTTTGATAAAACACAACAAATTCAATGACTGATTACAAATTTAAAAAAAGAAGACCATACTAAAATTGACTGGATGGAAATAGTTTTTGAGGAGGCTGTGTGAGGATTATACAGAAAAAAGCAACATTGTTTTTGTAATGGATTCATCGATTTTACTCCAGTGCCCACTGTGGCGTGGGATGTACACACAGTGAAACCGGAAGTCTCGATGAATCATAAAAGATACCATTGCAAAGTTCTGAACGTATAAACAACCGGTGACGCATGTCTGACGTATTTTGGAAATGTGTAACAATATTTAATGAGGTAGTGTGAGAGAAAGACAATCGACTCCATTATCGTGAAGCATCATCATTACATGATAAAGATAGACAGACAGAATCCCCTCTGTGGTGAAGTGAAGCCAGCAGGTGGATGATGGACAGTTTCATAGTATCACAGTATACCACAGTATTTAAAGATCCAGCATGATTTTCAGTACTGTCAAAATTACAGATCCTCCTCTTTCTGTAAAACTCATACAGAAATGCTGTATTGTATGTAGTGCACATCATGCGCCACCAGAGGGCAGTCTGTACTGGGGGAACAGACGGCTAAGCTGAGAAACATGGCGACTGTTACCAGCAATGGCAGAGACCGTGGCAAAAACTGCATGTGTTTACATCTAACTCGGTGAATTAAGGGTTTATTTTGACCTAACCGGAGTTGGTGACTGTTGGACTAATTAAATGACTAAGAAGAATAACTGAGGCCCCTGTCGCACAGAAAGTGTTTAAGCAGCTGGAGGCACATTTTTACATTGGTAGAATTAAGCTATTTGTTTGTATTTTTTGCGTTGCAGTGCATCTGGCGTTTCTGCGCTCAAGGCGCCTGGTGTTTTTACTGGAGCGCTCTGAACTCAAGTTGAAAAAACTTCAACTCAGAGCAGAAAAATGCAGCACATCATCTTTTTTTTTCATCATCTTTTTCCCATTTTCCAATGTGCTTACAGCACTCATCTTCCATGCGGAATGTCCAGGGTTCGAATCCTGCTGGGGTTGACATCAGCAAAGGCATTTGGTCGCAAGAGGTTCCCACCGCTGAATCAAACGGATCAGATTCCTTAAGGAGGCTTCAGGATAAGAGAGTTACTCCAGAATCGGAGCCAAGTCTTCAACGAGGGCTCGTCTCAAGCCTGTTGTAGACGGGAGGTTCCAGACGTATAAGCGGATTCAATTGGATGATTTGAGAGGCGGGCCTTCTGTGGTGGTCACGACAACAAGTTTACATTTGGTAAACAATGGAGGATAAACGGGTGGTACTCCCTGTGATCCAGCCTCTTTTTTAGAGTCTCATGTACCCACACAGATCTCTGTTTCCCTGTGCCCAACAAACTAACAAACAAAGAAACAAAAAAGATTGATTACACTGGAAGGTTAGTGTAAGGGTGTGATGGGGTGATCAGGGCCTGATATACTTTTGGTGTTGTTTCTGTTTAGTCTG